GTCCCCAACCAAAGAAAACTCCATGCCACACAATTCCCTTCCCCATAGGCAACCCAACTTTGACCTTTGTCACTATCCCAACCTCCACAATCCACCTCAACCCAACTTGGCCACACTTGCCAACCTGGTTTGGTTTCTCCCAACCAATTGGCAGCAACTACAGTAGTAGTGACGAGTTTCCCAACCCCCAAAATTCTGTACCCCATATTGACTCAACCCCACAACTCTCCATGGTCACCACAACCAAATATCAAAAGCATACGAACTCCAACGTTCGTAACTTTCTTGTTCGTGCTCCGATTGAAGTGATTCTTGGTTCGTCGGAAAGCTCTTGAGCAGTGGAGTCACTTCAGATATCTGCTCAAGCCAAATAACATTCACGCACACACACACAAACTCAGAAAATCCAAACCGCACAAAACACAAATTTCTGCACACACTCACAACACGCATGCAACGCACGAACATATGATGGGAGGCAGACAGACGTGAATGCGAATGGTAGCATCACTCAACAAGACTCGGAACACCAACGCATCGCCAAACTCCCCCGTCCAACGCAGAGTGGGCGAGGTCTCCGGAACGGAGACACAGCGCTAGAGGTTGAGCTGATGCGCGGCGTACTGTACTGCAAACGACCACAGGAAATGGGGGGCAGCCGCATGGATCATGGAGGTACGAGCGACCTCCATGACTAGACCAATGCGGCGCTCAGCAACCCCATTCTGCTGCGGAGAGGCCGGGAGTGTGAACGTGTGGCAGATGCCGTGCTCCGCACAGTAGGCTGCCAAGAGGTAAGGAAAACTCACCACCTTTGTCAGAATGCAGACGCAGGACAGGAAAGTCCAGCTGGAACCGCTTGCGGAGCTGGAGACGAGCAGCGCGGATCCAAGGGATCAACAGCTACCACTGTTGCTTCTGCTACTACTGTCATGGCTACCCATAATGTACTTTCCTTCGATGTTGAGGGTCGGGTAATAGATTTCGAGGTCTGGGTTGATGATCTGCAGCTGTTTCTGCAGTGCGATAGCAAGGACGGAGTCTCGCATTTTTTATCTTACGTCTAGCACCTCTACTGCACCTGCTGCTGATGCTGACAGTACTGTTTGCTCGCAGTGGACCACCCGCGTTGCTGCTGCCCGTCTTGCTATTCGTAGTCACCTACCGTCTGCTGAGCACGCACACTTTAGCCAGTACAAGACCGCTAGGACTCTGTACGACGCTGTTGTTGCGCGCTACTCCTCCTCTGCCATGTGAAGATGAGAGGAGCCATGGATGGCGAGAGAGTTGAAAAGTTGAACTAGGAAGAGAAATGTCGAGGTACAAAAGAGAGAGGGTTGGAAACCCCAATTGAACCTTGGGTATGTTCAGTTTGTACTAAAAGCTACGAAATAAACCTAAAATGAACCTTAATGCGTAACTCTCTCTAAGCATGGAGAAATAATTAAAGAACACCAAAATAAAGACCAGAGCGAGCTCTAGCCCACTCCAACACACCCCCAGGCTAGGTGAAGCTCTTAAGCAAAACACCTAGCGAACCGGCACACCCCCAGAAGTGGAGAGACGCATGAGCCCAAGCTCGCGCACGTAGAAACGGTGTGGCGCACGTAGAAGGGCCTTGGTGAAAATGTCAGCAAGGTTGGCAGCAGCGTCCACCTTGCGCAGACGTTAGAAACCAGACTGCACCAGCTCGCGCACAAAGAAATAGCGAACCTCGATATGCTTGCTGCGGGCGTGATAGACAGGATTTTTAGTGAGATGAATCATGCTCGCATTGTCACAGGAGAGCGTCACATAGGAGTGAGGTTGACCAAGCTCAGCAAGGAGAAAGGAGAGCCAGCGAGCCTCCTGAGGTGCGAAGGTGCGTGCGTACAACTCAGCCTCGCAGGTGGAAAGGCAGACAGAGGATGAGCGGATAGAGCGCCAGGTGATGAGACCACTGCCAAGAGTGAAACCATAGCCCTGAGATGAGCGGCGATCAGGGCGGGAGTCAGCATAGGAAGAGTCACTGTAGCCGGAGAGAATGGGAGGAACAGAGCCACCAAAAGTGAGAGCAAGGTCAAAGGTGGCGCGCAGATAGCGCAGGACATGCTTAGCAGCCGCCAAGTGCACGTCAGTGTGGCGGCCTAGACCAACAATGCGAGAGAGAACACTGAGGGGGTAAGCAAGGTCAAGGCGAGTGCACATTATAGCATACATGAGAGATCCAACGAGCTCAGATTAAGGCCGCAGCTCACAGGAGGGAGCAGGGACGGCAGGGGCAGTGAGTTGGTGGTTAGCGGGAAGACGCGTGGAGACTGGCTTGGCCTGCGACTTCTCAAACCGCTGGAGGATGGACTGGATATAGAAAGACTGGGAGAGAGAGATGGTGCGGGCAGCACGATCACAACGGATCTCCATGCCGATGTAGTGACAAAGCTTGCCAAGGTCCTTGTATAAGAGACGCGCCTGCAGGGCTTTCTTGACAAATGCAAGATCCGCGGAGTCCTCAGCAAGCAGCACCAAATCGTCCACATAGGCAAGGATGTAAAGCCAGTGGGGGGGTGTGCGAATGAAGAGACTGGGGTTGGAGGTGGAGGTAGAGAAGCCAAGAGAGTGAAGGGTGGAGGCGAGCTTGGCGTGCCACTCGCGTGGCGCCTGTTTAAGGCCATACACAGGTCGTTTCAATTCCCAAACCGTGCCTTGAGGGAAAGGGCGAGGAAAGCCAGCGGGGCGCTCAAGGAATATGCACTCATGCAGCTCGCCCTGGAGGAAAGCATTGGAAACGTCCATGGAATGGATCTCCCAATTCCAGCGAGCACCTAAGTCAAGAAGGAGGCGAAGGGTGGGGAGACGGGCTGTGGGGGAGTAAGTGGGAAAGTAATCAATGCCTTCACGGTGAGTGAACCCCTTGGCATAGTAGCAGGCCTTGAAGACAGGAAGTTCGCCAGGCAGCTGCTTGACACGGAAGACCCATGTGCCTTTGACAATGGTGGCGCCAGGGGGGGGGACAGAGTCAATGTATGAATTAGTTCTGGTGAATGCCTCACACTCAGCAATGATGGCAGCCATCCACTCAGTGGCATGAAAGCCCGACACAGCCTCGGAGTAGGACCGAGGGGTGGGAATGACAGCGGTGTCGACAGAGAGAAGAGTGGGAGAATTGCTGAAGTCACCAACGGTGACACACAGGAGAGGAGAAACAGGATGAATGCTGAAGAGCTCCTCAAAGCGATCTTCAAGAAGAGTAACATTTCCGAGATGGAGAAAGACGAGTGAAAAGAGCAGAGTGCTGAAAATTAGAAACTGCGCGAGTCATGGAGCGAGTAAGGCGTGAGGAAGGGGGGAGAATGGGAACAGACAAAGGAGGTGGAGAGGAAGATGGAAGTGAGGAAGGGAGGGGAGCCGAAGAGGAAGAGGCGGGTGGGGAGGCGCCAGAGATGATGTCGGAAGGGGGGGCAGTAGAGGCTGGCGCAGAGGGAGGGGCAGGAAGGGGCGGGATAGGAGGGGGGGGGGGGGAGGGGAGGGAAGGATAGACGGCGGCTGATCGAAATCAGACCAGTGAAGAGAGGGGAAAGGAGGGGCGGGTGGGGGGGAACGGAATGGGGATTGAATCTCATCGAGAATGACTTCTTGGCTACGGATGAGTTGGTGAGAGGAAGGGGCATAGAAAAGATGGCCATGACAGTCAGAGTTGATGCCAAGGAATGCACAAAGTTGCGTCTTGGGAGTGAGTTTCCCACCCTGACGGGACCGGTCTGCTGGATTGACAAGAACATGGGCAACACACCCCTAGACCCGAAGAGGACGAACAGAGGGCTGGCGGCCAGTCCAAAGCTGGAAGTTGGCGGTAGTAGGGCGAAGAGGATGAGGGCAGAGGTTAGAGAGTAGAGTGGCATGGAGGAGAGCATAGCTCCAAAGAGAGTGGGGAGTAGATGCATCGGTGAGAAGGCAGTGAGTGATTTCCATGAGAGTGCGATTGCGACGCTCGGCAACCCCATTCTGTTCTGGTGAGTGAGGAAGAGTGGAGGTCTGGCGAATGCCATGAGAGGCACAGTAAGAGGAGGGAGAGTGATTAAAGGGTTCGCCACCACCATCCGAGTGGAAGCGCGTGACAGGACGCTTAAAGCGTAGACGAGGCTGCTCAGCCCAGCGAATGATGAAGGAGGGAGCGTCAGATTTGGCACGGAGGGGATAGACAGTGGCAAATCATGAGAGGTCATCAACCAAAAGCAGAAAGTAGCGATGAACCTGACGAGAAGTAGTAGGTGAAGGACCCCAGAGGTCCATATGAACAAGGTCAAGGGGTTGGGGAGAGGCAGAGGGTGAAGAGGGATGGGGTGTCTGGGATAATTTGGCCTGGACACATGGGGTGCATGGAGGAGCAGGAGAGGGAGGAAGGGGGAGGAGAGAGGAAGGGAGGCCATGAAGAAGCTTGGAGGAGACCATACTGCGAAGAAGGGGAAAATTGGGGTGGCCAAGCCGATGATGGAGGAGAAGGGTAGGTTGAGTGAGAGAACGATAGTCGCAAGAAGGAACGGGAGGGGCGGAAGCGGAAGAGGCATGATGGGCAGAAGGGGGGAGAGAGACACAAAGAGTGTAGAGGCGAGTGATAAGGGAAAGAGTAAAGCGTGCAAGATGGCGGTTGCGATGATAGAGATCACAATAGGAGTCACATTCAGGAAAGATAGCTCGCACACAAAGACATTGAAGAGCAGAGAGAGAGAGAGAGAGAGAGAAAAGGTTGTGGCGGCAGGAAGGGACATAGAGGCCAGTCACAGCACCAGAGGGGAAGGCAGGACATTGAAGAGAGGAGGTAGCAGTGCAAGTCATGGTAATGGTATCCCCAGCTCCTTGAATGGAGAGGGGATGGGGAAAAGAGCGAAGCACACCAGCGTCACGAAAAACAGAGTCAGTGGCACCACTGTCAAGAACAAACTCAAGAGTGTGAGGGAGAGAAAGAGCAGCAGCTGTGGGACGAAGATACTGAGAATCATTGCCATTAACAAAAGGAGCAAACATCATGTTAAAACGAGGGTCCATAAGGGGAGAAGCCCTAGAATGCTATCCTGACTAGGCATAGTCACAAAGAGAGCAGAGGTTTGAGCACTGGTACCAGAGTCGGCAGCCACAAGTACCGCCTGGGCAGAAGACTGGCGACGCTGACGAGAGAGTTGAAGCCAATTGGGAGGGCGACCAGTGTTGCCAGCCAGGAACCAGTCATTGGTGAGCTTCTGGAAGCAGGAGGAGGCGGGATGATTGGTGCGACCGCAGGGCTGTACCTTGCGGGGCCCCTGGCGAATGATGTAGGTGCAAGGAGGAAAGGTGTTGCGAGGGCGAGAGGAAGCAGCGACGGCAGTGGAGTTGGGGAGAAGGGGGGGGGCAAAAGAGGGTGTGATAGCGGCGGCAATAGGAGGGCAACTACGGAGGTTGAGCTTTGCCTGGAGGAGGAAGGCAGAGACACGAGAGAACAACCACTGGTCGGCAGGGCGCTCACCATACAGAGTGACATGAACACTGTATTCAGGAGTGAGGCCTGTGAAGAGGAGGGCACCGCACACATGATCGGAAAGTTCAAACTTTTGAGAGGCAAGTTGGGAGGACAGCGTCTGCACACGAGCGATGTAGTCCGCCATGGTGGTGAAGTCAGCAAGACGAAGAGAGGTGAGCTTGCGTAAGAGGGCAATGACACTGATAGGAGTCTGCGACTGGAAGCGCTCGGTAAGATAGCCAAGAAGGTCCTTGGCATAGCGGATGTGCGAGCACTGAGGGAGAAGAGTTGGAGGGAGGCACGCAAGGATGACATGACAGGCACGTGCGTTGGCAACATGCCAGTCAGCGAGAAGGTCAGAGTGAGATGGAGCAGAGGAAATGGGCGTAGACGCAAAGTGAGGAGAGGGGGCAGCGAGGTGCTCAGTGAGGCGCTTGCCGGTGCTCTCGAGGGACTCAGCAAGAATACGAGCTAAGTCACGGGCAACAGGATTGTCAGGAGCAGCCGTGGCAGTGGCTTGTGCCGTGGTCACAAGCCGCTCAGTTTCAGCAATGGCAGCACGGAGGCCATTAGCATAGGGGTCAGAGGAGGAAGAGGTGGGTTCAGAGGGAGAGGTGGGAATGGCGCAAGAACCACTATAATGAGCGACAAACCAGAGGTTAAAGCCACTCACGAGGGTGCCACACAGCGTGCGCTCAAGACAGTTCAGCCAACTGGGGAAGTTGACTCCACTGCCATCGGGCGCAAGCTGAAGGACCAGCATAGGGAGGGAGGGGAGGGCGAGAAAGGTCGCCATGAGGAGGAGGAAACAACTGCAGAGTAGATGTGGGGAGTGGTATAAGAGGCGGAGGAATAAGGGCGGGGTAGTCTACTGCTGAGCCGCTGAGGGGAGAAACAAGAGGAGGAGGGAAAGTGGCGGAGTAGTCTGCTGCTGAGCCAATGCGGGGAGAAACCAGAGGAGGAGGAAAAATGGCGAAGAAGTCTGCTGCTGCGCCGATGAGGGGAGAAACCAGAGGAGGAGGGAAAATGGCGGAGTAGTCTGCTGCTGCGCCGATGAGGGGAGAAACCAGAGGAGGAGGGATAGCGGCGGAGAAGTCTGCTGCTGTGCGGATGAATATGAAACGCCTAGGACTATGCTCTGAATACCATGTTAAGATGAGAGGAGCCATGGATGGCGAGAGAGTTAGGTAGAGTCGAAAAGTTGAACTAGGAAGAGAAATGTCGAGGTACAAAAGAGAGAGGGTTGGAAACCCTAATTGAACCTAGGGTGTGTTCGGTTTGTACTAAAAGCTACAAAATGAACCTAAATGCGTAACTCTCTCTAAGCATGGAGAAATAATATAAGAACACCAAAATATAGACCAGAGCGAGCTCTAGCCTACTCCAACATACCACTGCTGCCCTTAGCCGCCTCGTGCTACCGTACCTGTTCCCTGACCTAGCCGCTTTTGCCACAGCCTGTCACGATTCTAATATTTGCGTAGGCATTAGATATATCTTCATGACTGTTAGGCTAAATAAAGGCTACAGTAGAGAGGATAATGACAGATCTGGCAGGAGCCTAATCGAACGAACCAAAAACTAGGAATTGGGGGGCGGAAAGGGACCGTTAGCACAAAGGTAACCCGTCACCAGTACTTAAGAAAGTACGCAAGCTTAGAGAAGATGCTTGCGCAATTGTTTTCACATTTATGCTTACAACTTCCGATCTCTCCCCACGAAGGCTAAGCACGAGGAACCAATCCGCGCAAGCACTCTAGTAGACATCCAACTACTCTCCCAACCTGCCGAGCTAGGGTTTGAGCAACTGTGTAAGGCAGAGGCAGGAGAATTTTCAACAATTACGCAAGGAAAAGACCGATGAACAGTCGAGATTTAGTAAGGACACACCTGTGGAACGACACAGGCAAATTGAAGCCTACGGCAAGGTGGCGCGCCGACGCTACTACTGCAAGAGGATATCCAGGCTCAGGGCGCGCTGAAACTGATTCACCGAAGTACCGGACGCCTCATCAACGAGCACGCTCGGCCGGAGGGAGTATGGAGCAAGATCCGGCCGTCGTCTCGGACCCGGGAGATACGCCGCACGACTCTCGATGGCCTGAAGTAGTACGAGAACGGTGGAAGAACCAGGAGGTGCTGACCCCGCTAACCGGAGTGCTCGGGATGACTACGATGAAGGGAAGACCAGACCCGTGAGGGACCCCGGACGGCGGCCCTGTGTCGGAGCGGCGACAAAGAGGGGCTCTGGTATCTAGTGGCGTAGCTACCAAGCCAGACGACCCGCATGAAGCGTCCGGCAGCCGTGCAGTGCGTTGGAAGGCAGCGAACCTGCCCAAGGTGGAGGTAGCAGAACGCTACACGGGTATTCCGGGCGTGGGGCCAAGCCTGAAGAATTACCTAATGCAGCTAGAGACCGTCCAATACTGCTGGGAGCGCGATGGATATGACCCGGCTGAGTTCTTCTGTAAAATGGTGGGAACCTTGGCGGGCGAAGCAGAGACGTTCTATCGCCTGACTCGGGACGAGGTCTTGGAAGAACTAGCGGATGGAGAGATATCCAACCCTACGGCCCGGTTCCTACAATGGATGCGGAAAGAGTTCGCTGGACAGACCAAGGCGCGCGTCGAGGATTTTTGGAACTTCCGATGGAAGAAGGAGGAGTCGCTGTCGGCGTACTACTGCCGACTCCGATAACTAGCCGAGGACTTGGAAATCCAGGATGAACACCTGTTCGTGAGGAAGTTTGTACGAGGGTTGGACGACGAGCTGAAGGGAGTGGTTTGGAGCACCGTCTACGGCATAGGCGCTGACATCACCCTCACGGAAGTTTACCTCCTGACGAAGACGAAACAGGTGCAGCGACTGCTTGATCTGGAAGATTTAGAAGGAAGGAGTCGGGCGAGGGCGGGTTGGGCAGCAGCGGCAGTACCAGACTCCTCCCATGGGGGCAGCGATTACGCAGACCCCCGGCTCTGCCATACCTGCGAGGAACACGGGCATTTGAAGCGGGACTACCCCAAAGCGCCGACCTGTGAGCAGTGGGGAAAACGCGGGCATCGGAAGGAAGACTGTTACAGTCGGCCGAGAGAAGCGCTGGGAGCGACTAGGGAAGAGCAATAAGCCGAAGTCCGGCGGCTGCAGCTGCGGCTGGAGTAGTTACCTAACCCGAAGGAAGTAAAAGCGCGGGCAGTGCTGGCATACGGACAAGTGGACGAGGCCGAAGAAGAGGGAGAAGAGGACTACAAGCGGGAGTATGCGGTGATGGCATATCCTCGATCGCAGGATGACATCAGACTCCGACCCAGGGTTAGCCAATCCCAAGAGAGTGAGGTGACGAGTGGAGCCCATCAACGGAACAGCCAGACACAGAGAACGCAACCTTTGGATATGAGGCGACATCCGAATGAACGGCTCGTGTGCCAGGCGTCGGTGCTGATTGCAGAGAAGGTGAGCCTCGCGGTGGGGGGCCTACCAGTGAAGCAAGCAATCATAGATACGGGCGCGCATCACGTGCTGATAGGAAAGGGGCTCGCCAAACAGTTGAAGTTGGACGTAGCCAGTCGGACTATGAAGAGGGGGATTCTACTCATCACTGCCGAGGGAGGAGAGCCGAAATAGATGCCGAAAACGAGAAGGCTTGTGGAACTGGTACTCCTACCGGCGACCGAAAAAGAGTGTTGCATCCGTCTGCAGTGCAACGTCTCAGAATCGGAGGACTATGATGTCCTCGTCGGGATGGAACTTCTCTACCGGGTGGGAGCCACTATTTGTACCTGGCAGGCAAAGGTGTTATTCTGCGTGCAGTATTGGGACCCAGAGAGCATCGTAGGCACGCTGCCAGCACGGTTCGTGCGGCAGGAGCCACGTGAGGCGTATCAAGCACAAAAGCGGGATCTGACAGAGGAGCTGGAGGAATGGCCCTTGGAGAGGTACGAGGAGGAATACGAACGACGGATAGAGAGACGGACCTTGGGACAAAGCCCGACCGATCTGACAGAACGCGTAAGTCGCATTAAGGCCTTGGACGTGCCTATACGCGTCTTAGAGCTATATGGGGGAATCGGGACCAGCCTAGCAGCAGCGTTGCGAGCAGGGTGTACCATCAAGCCGTGGATTCATGTCGAACGCAATCCAGTAGTGCGAAAGATGGCGCAACACCATGCCTTGCTGCTGCAAGATGAGTATACATACCAGATATGGGAGGATGCCATCCCGCATGACGCAGAGCAGAAAGTACATGACGTGCGGGATATCTCAGAAGGAGTACTGCACCGGTGGGGGCAGGTGGATCTGGTGATCGCGGGATGGGAATGTTAGGGATACTCTAGGGCTGGGAAAGGTCTGGGGATTGAAGATGTCAGAGGAGCGTCGTTCCGAGACCTCCAACGGGTGTTAGAGATGCTTCAGCGGTGCCAAGGGGAAGTCGCCTACATCTTGGAGAACGTGGATCTGGCAGAGGACACGAGAGAGCCCGTAAAAAGAGCGTTCGAGGAGATAGTGGGGGTCCTGGGGAGAGGAGTACCGGTCGACGCGGCGCAGCTAGGATCGCGGGCACACCGGCCGCGGAGGTACTGGCAGAATGTGATGTCGAGCGCGGCGTTGCGGCACTCGTTGGCACTGATGCAACGTCCGGAGCCACGCCTAGGGAGCGACATCTTGGAGTCGAATCGCCTGCCGGCCCCCGTGATATGCACGGACCACCCGTCGCAGTACCAATCCAATGAGCCAGGCAAGCCTCGGCAGGCACTGCCCACGTTAGTATCCTACGCAGATGCACGCGGATTCCGCATGGAAGGTGAGCTGCCGGGGCCTAGAATGATCTATGACGTACGGAGGGGAGTTTGGGAACAGCCGACGGCGAACGAGAGAGAGAGACGGCCATGGGACACTTGTGGGGAGCCACTGCACATCCGGAGGTGACCGAGCAACAGCGCCGAGCAGCCTTAGGCCGAGCCATGGACGCGAACGTGATGACCTGGCACCTGGATACGATGCGGATGCACTTGAACACGAAGGAGCTGCAAAGAGACATCGCGTGCTGCGAGAGGTACCGAGACCTTGAGTCTGTCGAATGGCAGAAGAAGTCGCTAGCCATGATCAAAGCTAGATACGATGAGAAGATAGATGAAGGATGGGTGGCGCACATGGCCATGGAAGTGATGGAGGGAGAGACCGAGGGAGACACGGAGGCAGTGGAGGAGCTCTCGGGGAAGCAGGAGCGGGGGCCAGAAGATGACTGGGTATTCGGAGGCGGGATGGACGCTGAGACAGCAACAACATTGCAGGAAGTGCTTAGACAGCACCGCGGGACTTTCGCGTACACCTTGCAAGAGCTAGGGAAGTGTACCATGCACAAGATGAAAATCGCACTCACCAGTGAAGTCCTGGTATACCAACGGAAGCGGCGGATGAGCTTGGGGGATGTAGACATTTGCACCGAGAAGTGCAACGAGCTGTTGGAGGCGAGGTTAATACAACGGTCAGAGAGCGATTACGCTGCAGCGACGGTTGTAGCCTCACGGAAAGATCTGACCGGAGCCGTCTCGGCGCGGAGAATGTGTGGGGACTACTAGAGTGTGAACAAGGACACAGTGGCAGATTGGTATCCCATGCAGTCGGTCGAAGCGATCTTCGATAAGCTGCAAGGGGCGAAAGTATTCTCTACCTTAGATTTGCGGCAGGGATTCAACTAGATCCCAATCAGACCGGCAGATCGCAAGAAGACGGCGTTTCACGGGCCGGACTGCTTGTATGAATGGCGATTTATGCCATTCGGGATGAAGAACGTGCCTGCTCTGTTCTAGCGCGCCATGGACACGATACTGCAGGGGGTGCCAGCAGCAGCCTGTCACATAGACGACGTGGTGGTTTTCAGCTCTGACGCGGAGCAGCACGTGAAGGACGTGAAAGCTACACTGGACGCTATCCGGGAGGCCGGCCATACTTGCCACCCGAAGAAGTGCAGTTTCGGGAATACTAGGGTGAAATACTTGGGGTTCAAGTGTCAGTAGAGCTACACTGTGAGATCCACGATCGATCCTAGGGGGGGTTACAGGCACGTCTGCCTGGGGGGTTATGGGCGCACTGACCCGCTACTGAAACAAGCCCTTCTATCCCAATGGTCTAGTGGTTGGGATTCTGACATGGTATCAAAGCGGTCTCGGCT